GAAAGAAAGAAAGAAAGAAAGAAAGAAAGAAAGAAAGAAAGAAAGAAGGAGGGAAGGAGGGAAGGGAGAAAGAGGGAAAGGAAGGGAAAGTGAATGAGATCTGGATGGATGGATGGATGGATGATGGATAGAGGGAGGGTGGAAGGGAGAGAAAAAGGAGCAGAAGGAAGGACCACAAACCCTGGCACAAGACACAACTTCAGTGGATGCTTTGAAACAGCACAGCAATCCAGGGCTAGAAGGGATCTCAGAGGTCATCTAGTCTAACCCCCTGCTGGAGATATCTGGGTTATTTTGGTACCTCACCCAGTCACATGACCACCAAGCCATGCCCACAGAATCGGTTGTTTAAAAATTTGAATCCCGCCCCTGGTCCTGGCATTCTGGAAGATAGCCTGTTTGAGGTACTTTTGTTGACAAAGTTTTGCCCTAGGATTCAGCATTTTGCCCAATTGAAGGTTACAAAATATCAAACAGACACTAGAATTTTAGTAGTATATAGATTATAATTTTACTAATTTTGTGCATTTTTCAGACTTTATTAAACCCCTTGGTTAATATTTTGCAAACATTATTTTGTCATCACTGTGACAAACAATTTAAATCTGAGAAAGTCTACTGTATGTAATCAATGGACATTCTCTTTATGAATATCTGTTCCTTCCAACAAAGCAGAAAATACAGGGGGGGGGGAGTGTGAGTGTGTTAAGTGTGCTTCAATCTCACAGAAATCCCTCTGCATCTCTTTAGAAATCTGCTTAGTAAAAGATAACAGGCAAAAATGTCTTAGCTTTTTAAATGGCTCATTCAATAATTCCAATGAAAGAGAAAAGGCTTTCAAAGTTACCCTTGTCTATGTATTGAAAAGTGCTTAAAAAGAGGCATCTTGCAACTATTGAAGCCCATAAATAGAAACTAGATAATTTTTAATAATGGAAGAACGGAGGGGTATTTACTATTCAAGGGCTACAACTGTTCCATTACTTTTAAGGTCTGGCCAGCAGGTTTTGTGTTATAATTTAGTATCAATCAAATACCTTTAAATCTGCTTTGAATTAAAATTCTTCAGACGTTGTGTTTTAACTGTGGGCATCTGAAGTTAATACTGAACTGGGGAGGAGTCGGGATACAGACCACAGCAATACAGGAAACCTAGATTTCTTTTGCCAGAGCTCTGCTAATTTAAATGATAGCTAATCTAGTTAAAATAACACTTGAACCCTCTCAAATAGCAGACATGATCATAATTAGAACTAGCCCATGAGTTATTTCTAGACCTCTCTGATTAGACACCAGCATATTTATAATGCTTTTCTCATATTACTAAGAAGTTTAATAATGATGGTAAAATATTGTATTGAATATACACACAAGTTGTTTAATATATTGTTTTATTCTCTCTCTCTCTCTCTCTCTCTCTCTCTCTCTCTCTCTCTCTCATACACACACACACACACACACACACTTTTTTCTCAATTTTTCTAATATTATTAAATCTGCAAACAATATTTTGGCAGAAATACTTATATGTCAAGAAACCTCAGACAATATCCTGAGAGAAACCATGAATTCTATATAAACAACTTTAGTTATGTTAACAGAATATTTATATCCTGTGAAAATAAGGCAGAAAATAAATATTCTGAGCACAAGTAAATACTTGGCTAAGACTGTTTTTGGGATAATTAAGAAAGAGGAATGAAATAGACAAAAGTATCAGCACTCTATTAATAAAAACCTTTAACAATTTTTAAAAGAATGATAATAATCAGTAGGAGCTTTTAAAAATGGCAGCAAAATATGAAATAATATTTCTTAATGCTTAATATTAAATAAATATAATTAAATATAATCAGTGAAGAAGCAAAATAGATCATACAAACCTTTCAAATCTTCAGGACACTTTGTGAAGAATTTCATGCAGGATAATGGGACTCTTCAGCATAACCGTTTTCTATTTAAGAAAATAGAAAGTTTGAGCTGCTTTAGCTATTCATTCAAGAAAGCTTGGTCCACAGTAAGTATTGAGATAATCATGGCCCCTGAGTTACATCTGTCTTCTCTGACTATCCAATTCCTGTCCTTCTCATCTATATTTGGCAACTGAACTCATGTTTCAGTGAACTGCCACTATCTGGAATTTCAGCATAATAGACTTGAGCCTAGAAGAACGAATAAGAAGTTTGAATAATGTTTCAAACTTAAATATTCAATAAAACTTGAATAGCTTGCTGCTGATTATAACAAATCATATTCTTGCTGATAACCATATTCTTATTTACTATTGAAGAATTTTAAAATGTGACACAACTAGAGCTATCTATAAGAAATGTTTTGCATAGTTCTGGTATTAGAAAACAATTCATCCTTTATGCTTCTTTACCAACATGTCTTTTTGGAAAACAAAAGAAGGAAATAATATTAGCTTTGTATGCATTTTTAATCTTAAGAACCTTTTACATCAGTAGTTTATATTGTGTTAACACTCTCGCAATAAAAATGACTCAATAAAATCTTATTTTGTGATATCAGAGAGTACATAGTAGATTAATGCATGAAACTGACTATGCCTGTAAATGTCTTTTAACATTTTCATAGCTGTATCCCTTCTTTAACACTGACGTACACCATATGACTACATTTTAATTTCTGAATCTCTAGTCTTATATACCTGAGAAAAAGTCCCATACTGGAATTTATTTTAGAAGAATGCACTTTAAACATGTTTATTCCTTTTGCATTTTCCTCTCTTTTAAGCATAGGTTTATTAAATATTATATTAAACAAGTAACACAAATTACAATAAACAACTAAACAAATGCAAATCCTAATTCTTTTTAAAAAAGAAAATATATTTATAAAGTGCAGAAACCCCACCCTCAATAAAAGAAAAAATAAGAAAAAATAAACCAATAAGTACTGTATATTCAACACTAACAACTTACCAATATCTCTTAAAAGGCAACCAAGACTTCTTCATTCTATACCTCATTCCATTTTCTACTGTTTCTAAATCTTCATTTCTCTTTATTAACCAACAAAGATGCAAAAAAAAGGTAACAAAATAACTGATCAACTAATTCCTCCTTTAGGGCGGAAGCAACTTATGACCAGTGCTGGGATTCAGCCGATTTGCACTAGTTTGCTAGCAATTGTAGCAATTTTTTTCTGAAGTTTGATCAACTGGCTGAATAGACTTCCTCCCCTGCCCTGCCCCCACCCATCTGTCACCCCCAAATTGCATCGATAAAAGGTGGCGGGTGGCTAAGTGAATGGCAGGAAGCCCTGCCATGCCTGGTGAGGGGAGAAAAGATGGCAAGAAGAGCCCGCCTTGCTCCACACACCCCAATGAAAGGCAGTGGCAGCCCAGCCACTTCCCTTCCCCACCCTGTCCAGTGCTGGAAGCCAACTGTCAGCCGCGCACCCAGTTGCCCATTTATCCCCCCTCTCTGTGTGTGTCTCTGGAGATCACCCAGTGTCACAGACCCGGACCTGCCCTGCCATCCTGCATAGGTTTGAGACACCGCTGAAGAAAGGTGCCAAGGACTCCATGGGCCTCTCTCTCTCTCCTCCTACCACTCTGGGGGAGTGAAGGCACCACTTGGGGCAAAGGAGTGAGTCACTCCCTTACCTGAGCCTTGGCTTGCCTCCCTCCCCCCACCCTCCCCCACCCACTTGTGCAAACACAACCCCGGTGAGGGAGCCTGGGCATGGGAGGGGCACCGCGGAAAGAGGCAGAGCCTCAAATCTGAGGCATCATGGGGATCCCAGCAGAGCTCATGGATGCTGCCCCTCAAGCACTCCCAAAGAGAGTGGAGAAAGACGTGAATGCTTCCTGCCCCAGAGGAATAAATGGACCTGGATTGAGGGGAATGAGCATTCTCCTTGAACTCCAGAATTTTAAATAGCCAGGAATATGAAAGGACCAATGAGAATTCTCGCTTCTTCTGCATTATTGGTCTCCAGGCAGAGTCTGGAAGAAGGAACCGGAGATCCAATTTGAAAGTGAAAAGAGTAAGAGTGATAAAAGGAACAGAAAGTAGCAGAAGGAAAGTGGAAAGTAAAGCTGAGATTTGAAGGAGGAAGAGAGAGGAACACCCGAGATGACAGAACCATATTGAAAGACCGTGTTTGATGGTGCTGACAGTGAATGACTAAGTAAGATTATTGGACTACCTATTAAGCTTAAATTAAGAGAAGTTAAGAGACTTTGGAAAAAATATAGATTTACATATACTGTTTGCTTATTGTAATTATAAAAGCTATATATTACTCACATACAGTTATAAATACAGTTATATATTTATATTGAAATATTTATACAATTCATATTTGTATATATTTAAGTTCTTATTTGTAATTATATTTTTCCTAATAGAGATATTGCTTAATTAGATTGCTAGATTGATCAGATAGTAATAGACAAGTTACTGTTGAATCATTATTCTATTTACTGAACTATTAATGAATTATTACCTAAGATTATTATTCAATAGAATTAATTAATAACGCTTAGTATACAGACTAAAAGGAATTAAGTAATATATTATATATAAGATAAGAGTTTCAAGAGGAAGTTGGACTGAGAAGTAAATATTTGTGGTATTTGTACATTCTGGGATAGGTAGCGATATAGTGAAATTAAAAGATTTAAGTATTTAAATAATAAGGAGAATCTAATAGGTTGGACTAAATTACAACATGGAAGAAGACAATTAAAATAATAAGTAGAGAAATTAGCAGAGAAAAGAGACTTAATATAAATTATTTTTTAAATAAAATATAAAGTGGATGGTAGTGTGGGCAGAAGTAAACAGAAGTTTAAGAAATGTGACAAGTGCCATAACAACAACTCTGAAAACAGCAAAGAAGACAACATCTAACCCATCATTAACAGTTATATCTCCAACTGGCCAAAAGACGATTGAGGGAATTTGGGTGTGGAAAAACAAAGCGCAACATCTAATATACAATCAATACAGACAATGCTGCTGGCGATTCAAGAAACCATGATGAAGATGCAGGAAAATATGTCAAAGAATCATGTGGAAATGAAAGGGGTCATTAATAAATTAGAAGCCAAAGTAAATACAATACAACAAGCCACCGAGAAGAATGAACAAAAATTACAGCTGGTGGAAATTAGATCAATACAGAATGAGAAGAAATTGGAATTTAGTGGACAAAAAAATGATGACAATGAACAAAGAATTAGAGGAACGAATTATTCATTTGGAGATGGGTTGCGCAGTGTTCTACCTGCAGTTCCAGAACATTATGGAAAGCAAAGAGGAAGATCTGAGTATCATCATGGCAGAGCTAATTGCACAAGCATTACAGAAGACAGTCAAGAGATCCTGCTAGAAATTGATGAAGCCTACAGAATTCATACTAGTTATTCAAGACATAATAGACTACCACAAGAAGTCCACATTAGATTTGCTAGAAAAAAAAAGTAAGGGACATAATATATTAAGATAACGAGGGATGAACCTCTAATATATAAACACAAAGAGATACAAACCTTAAAACAGATCCCAAAGAAAGTAAGAGAACAGAGAAGATATTATAAATTTCTTGCAATGCAATTGATTAAGAGAAATATAATGTTTCAGTGGTTAATTCTAGAAGGGCGTTGGTATCATGGCAGGGCTAGAAAACGAAAAAGATACCATCCTAAGAGAATATGATACAAAAAATAATGGTCTGTGTGGAAATGGATAAATTCACAGTGGAATTAAAAGGCAAGGATGAATCGGACTATTATGCAGTTTAGGATAGGTGGTACAAATGGGCAGAATATAGAAATAAGAATTTATGTATAGGTATAAAAGCAAAGATATGTGTTACTAACGACACAATGCTATTAATGTAAATAGAGACTTGTAATTTTGTTTTTTTTAAAAAAAGGATTACTTGCATCAACACTCCCCCCCCTTCTTCTTCCATTGAAGAATGGCAGATACATGGATCTGACAGCAGGGAAACAAATGTTTGTGGGACTAAAAAAAAAGTTCACTCAATCAATTCCAACTTTGCGAGAACTTTTTCCTTCGCGAGAAAAAACAAGGACAAAAAAATAATAATTCAAGATTATTATGAAAAACTGTTTGAGCAGGAGAAAGTTCCAGAAGAGAGAATTAAACAATATTTGGAAAAAGTAGATCTACCTAAAATACCAGAAACAATGAAAGCCATGTTAAATAGATATCGATGATGAAATTGTCAGAAGCAATTAAGAGGCAAAAAAATAATAACAAAAATAACACCAGGACCAGATGGGCTGCTGGCAGAATTTTATAAACATTTACAAGATATTTTGGGCCCATCAATGCTGGAAGTTTACAATGAAGTACTGTTTGAAGTAAAAGTACCAAACTCGTGGATGGAAGCAAACATTACTCTTATTCTGAAAGAAGATTTAGACTTAATGCAGATAAGAAACTATAGACCAATATCCTAACTGAATGCTGACTATAAAATATTTGCCTGAATAATAGCAGAGATGTTGAAAAGGTTTTTGAATGAATTTATACATTCAGATCAAAATGGCTTCCTGCCTAAGAGACAGATTAAAAACAATTGGAGAATGATCTTAAACGCATTGGAATATTATGAAGCACATCCTGGAAAACAAATGGCATTGATTTTTCTGAATGCGCAGAAAGCATTTAACAATGTAAACTGGCAACTTATGTTGTTACAACTAAAATTTATGGATTTGGGGGAGAGATTTATTCACATGATTAAGGCAATATATAACAAACAAATGGCAAGGGTGGTGGTAAATGGAGATATGACAGAGAATTTTAATATAAAAAAGGTAAGGATGTCCATTATCCCCTTTATTATTTATATTAACATGAGAAGTGTTAAACAGAAATATTAGACAAGATAAATAAATTAAAGGTATGGAGATAAGAAAGGAAGAGTACAAGTTATTGGCGTTTGCAGATGACTTGATTTTTATTTTGGAGGCTCCACAAGAAACTGGACTTAAATTAATTTTAAAAAATAGAAAAATATGGGGAAGTTGCAGGATTGAAAATAAATAAAGATAAAACTAAAATATTAGCCAAAAACACATTACAGATACACAGAAAAAAAGAGTTAATGAGGAAGATAGGCATATAGATAGTTAAGAAAGTAAAATACCTAGGAATTCAATTAACAGCAAAGTGTGTAACAATTAAAGAAGATAATTATGATAAATTGGCGCAACAAATTAAAACAGATTTAGAGAAGTGGAAAAATCTGCAATTGTCATTGATGGGAAGAATAGCCACTATAAAAATGAATATCTTGCCGAGATTATTATATTTATTTCAAACAATGCCAATAAAATTGGGAAAAATACTTTGAGGAATTAAACAAAACAATATTAAAATTTATTTGGCAGGGGAAAAAAGCAAGAATAAATTTTAAAATGTTGCAAGATTCTAAAAATAGAGGGGGTCTTGGACTACCAGATTGGGAATTGTACTATCAGGCTTTGATACCCAGATGAAAAAAATGGATTGGCTTGAGGAACAAAAGACTATTGACTTTGGAGGAACATGGTCTCCAACTGGGTTGGCATGCTTTTTATGGTATAGATGGAAAAAAATAAAATACATAGCTATTTCCAAAGACATTATATTAGAAATGCACTACTATCTGTATGGGAGAAAATTAAAGAACATTACCTGAAAATACTGATCTGGCTGTCCACAATGGAGGCATTGATTTACCCAAATGTTATTGATATGGAGAATATAAAGATATAAAGATATTCTGAATGAAAAGGGGGAACTTAAAACCAAACAGGAACTGAGTTGATCAAGGAATTGAGATAACATGACGGTCATACTTGCAGATACAATCTAGATATGAGAAGGATATTAAAATGTATGGTTTCTACAAAGACTTAATAGAAATAGATCAGCTGTTAATGGGGACAGATGAAAAAATAATAAAGTAATTATATAGCTATTTATTAAGTATTAAGATGGAAGATGAACAAGTAAAAGAGACAATGATAGTATGGGCTAAAAATTATGGCTATCCGATTGAGTTAGATAAGTGGCAGAAACTATGGGATAGTAACTATAAATTAACAATGCCTACTATGTACAAAGAAAATCTTTATAAAATGTTTTATAGATGGCATTTTCCACCATCAAGATTAGCAAAAATGTTTAAGGATAAGTTTGCAAAATGTTGGAAATGTCACGAGACACCCGGCTTGTATTATCATTATGTGGTGGACATGTCAAAAAGTGAAAAAATATTGGACAAAAATCCATACATGGCTGGAAAAAATGATAAAACAGCATATTGACATGAAAGCAGAGATATATTTGTTGGGCATTTTGCAAGATCTTTTTCTTTCGTGAGAAGTTGGAATTGATTGAGTAAACTTTTTTTTTAGTCCCACAAACTTTTGTTTCCCTGCAAATGGCAAGAAATGCAATGGAGAAACATGATGGAGCTGGGCTGTGGCGATGGTGCATGTGCTCATGGAGAGGGCTCTGAGTGCCACCTCTGGCACACATGCTATAGGTTCTCCACCACTGGTGTAGAGTCTACACCATGTGGCATCCTATCCTTAAATCGAGCAATTACTGTATATTGTCAATTTTTTTTCCAGTAGTACCTAGGAATGCATTATATAGGAATGTTTTAACATATAACATTTCCATATCAGGATGAACTTTAAAATAACAGTAAGACAACTGTTCCCATTCCATGTTATTCAAACTGCTTATATATGACCTTCAGGGATAGTCAAAATCTATTCTAAAACTTTAACAAGCTGGGGAGCACATTTGGAATTTCAAAAACAAGTCATGGATATTCTTATAGAATTGCTACTTTGATGGACATGATCAGTTTCAAAACATCCATTTGCCAAAAAGCCATGTCATGGGGAAAATCCCATCATTCCCTTCTATTCCTATAAGGGGACCTTTATCACAGACTTTATCTCTGGCCCAGTTCTCTTTGCTTTCCTGCAGTGCTATGCAGCCATCCTTTGGGTGTCCAAAAAAAAAAAAAAAAAAGATCAGCATGAAATTTGTTAGTTAGATTGGCAGATTTATTAACACAATTTTTCTTTAATAAAGCAGAGCAAGAAAAAGATAATGAGATACAATAACAATCACACAGAACACATTGCAAAGAAAAAACAATAAACACATATTTCTTATCCTGCTACCTATTTGAATAGAACCTTGGCCTTCAAAGAACAAGCAGAATTTGTTTCAGATAAAAGGTTCTGAGAGAACATTTCTATATTCTTGAATTAGATAGGTTGTTTTAAATAAGTCTAAACTTGTATTACCAAAGTCACCTGGTTTCAGCTACATAGATTGCTGAGAAAAATGTTTTAAAAATAGATCATTTAATCAGCCTGTAACCAAGGGAGATGATATGGGAAGGCAGACTGTTCTGTAAGCTATTGAAAGGCGAGGTCCTTATCTTTTTCTTGCAATGGTCATTATGTAAAATTAATTTTTAAATTTAATTAGGCTTAGCTTTCATTTTTTATCTTCCTCTTCATTCTGTTCTTATTTGGTGATATGCATTTTAGACTCTAAGCATGTAAGGCAGGGAGTATTTTTTTTTTTTTATTGAATAGATATAAGCTATTCTTTGGTTGAAGGATAGGATAGCAAAGATTAAAATTAAAAAAAATTAAATTAAAGCAAATGACTTCTTTTTTAGATTTCTTTACTTGACAGTCAGTGGAGAACTACTGAATTATAATAGAGTGCACAGGTTTGTTGTGGTAGAAAATATACATGTAATGTACAAAATGCACAAGGTGGGTTGTAGATTAATTTCATGCACACATCTCCTACGAAATCATTACTTGTACATATCATTCCTGTTTTTGTCTTTCCACTTTTAGCAGTTATATTAAGCAGAAATATTAAGCAGAAATATTGCTGGGTAACTTTGTAATCTATTGTTTTAATCTATGAATTGTTTGCATTCAGATATCAGTTAAGCCTGGGTCTGAGAGCAATCTTAATATATTAACACAATCAACAGTATAGATATCTTTTTCATACTATTGTCTTTTACTCCTACTCCTTTGCAACTTGTTGAAATCTAAAAATAAATGTTGTGTGTACAATCTAGTTATTTTTAAAAATGTAGTTCCATTAATCTAATGCCATTAAATGTGCTGACAATGATAACAGATATATTTTTCCTACTTCATTAAATCATGAGTTTTCATCAAAGGACCAACAAACTACACTGCTCAAAAAAATAAAGGGAACACAAAAATAAGACATCCTAGATCTGAATGAATGAAATATTCTTATTAAATACTTCATTCATTACATAGTTGAATGTGCTGACAACAAAATCACACAAAAATTATCAATGGAAATCAAATTTAGCAACTCATGGAGGTCTGGATTTGGAGTTACACTCAAAATTAACGTGGAAAAAAACACTACAGGCTGATCCAACTTTGATGTAATGTCCTTAAAACAAGTCAAAATGAGGCTCAGTAGTGTGTGTGGCCTCCATGTGCCTGTATGACCTCCCTACAATGCCTGGGCATGCTCCTGATGAGGTGGTGGATGGTCTCCTGAGGGATCTCCTCCCACACCTGCACTAAAGCATCCCCCAACTCCTGGACAGTCTGTGGTGCAACGTGGCGTTGGTGGATGGAGCGAGACATTATGTCCCAGATGTGCTCAATTGGATTCAGGTCTGGGGAACGGGCAGGTCAGTCCATAACATCAATGCCTTCGTCTTGCAGGAACTGCTGACACACTCCAGCCACATGAGGTCTAGCATTGCCGTGCATTAGGAGGAACCCAGGGCCAACCGCACCAGCATATGGTCTCACAAGGGGTCTGAGGATCTCATCTTGGTACCTAATGGCAGTCAGGCTACCTCTGGCGAGCACATCGAGGGCTGTGCGGCCCCCTAAAGAAATGCCACCCCACACCATTACTGACCCACCGCCAAACCGGTCATGCTGGAGGATGTTGCAGGCAGCACAATGTTCTCCACAGCATCTCCAGACCCTGTCACGTCTGTCACATATGCTCAGTGTGAACCTGCTTTCATCTGTGAAGAGCACAGGGCGCCAGTGGCGAATTTGCCAATCTTGTTGTTCTCTGGCAAATGCCAAACGTCCTGCACAGTGTTGGGCTGTAAGCACAACCCCCACCTGTGGACATCGGGCCCTCATACCACCCTCATGGAGTCTGTTTCTGACCGTTGGAGCAGCCACATGCACATTTGTGGCCCGCTGGAGGTCATTTTGCAGGGCTCTGGCAGTGCTCCTCCTGTCCCTCCTTGCACAAAGGCGGAGGTAGCAATCCTAATGCTGGGTTGTTGCCCTCCTACGGCCTCCTCCACGTCTCCTGATGTATTGGCCTGTCTCCTGGTAGCACCTCCATGCTCTGGACACTACGCTGACAGACACAGCAAACCTTCTTGCCACAGCTCGCATTGATGTGCCATCCTGGATGAGCTGCACTACCTGAGCCACTTGTGTGGGTTGTAGACTCCCTCTCATGCTACCACTAGAGTGAAAGCACTGCCAACATTCAAAAGTGACCAAACCATCAGCCAGAAAGCATAGGAACTGAGAAGTGGTCTGTGGTCACCACCTGCAGAACCACTCCTTTATTGGGGATGTCTTGCTAACTGCCTATGCTTTCCACCGGTTGTCTATTCCATTTGCACAACAGCATGTGAAATTGATTGTCAATCAGTGTTGCTACCTAAGTGGACAGTTTGATTTCACAGAAGTGTGATTGACTTAGAGTTACATTGTGTTGTTTAAGTGTTCCCTTTATTTTTTTGAGCAGTGTATTTCAAGGTATATGCAAGTAGTCCTCGACTTATGACCACAATTGAGCCCAAAATTTCTATTGTTATGTGAGACATTTGTTAAGTTAATTTCGTCCCTTTTTAAACCAGTTAAGTGAACCACTGCTGTTGTCAAGTTAGTAACATGGTTAAGTGAATCTGGCTTCCCCATTGACTTTGCTTGTCAGAAAGTTACAAGCCGTGGTCACATGACCCCAGGACACTGCAATTGTCATAAATATGAATCAATTGACAAGTGTCTGAACTTTGATAACATGACCCTGGGGATGCTGCAATGATCACGTGAAAAATTGTCATAAGTCACTTTTTCAGAGCTGTTGTAACTTTGAATAGACACTAAATGAATTGTTGTACGTCGAGGACTACCTGTACTTTGAAGGAATAGTCATTTGATAGCTGTACCTTGATGACAGAAATATTACTGCTAAACAGAAAACAAAAGAGCAAGTGCAATAGGGATTTTCCAAAAATGTATATTTTTAATGGACTGTTAAATCAAACAAAGAAAGGGAAATTGGCACAACCCAGGAAAGTGAACAGGAGAGTGTGTGTAAAGTAAAGAGGCACTTAGCTTGAGACTATTTTGGGAACAGAATTTCCAGAGCTGGAAAGTCTTCAATCTTTTTTTCTTCATCGTCCCTTTTGATTGGCCAAGAAACAGGTGCTCCAGAAGGTGATGGCAGGAGTATTCCAGGCTTCCTAGTATGTTATTTAATAAACTATATTACATCTGTGTTGCCTGCATACTTACTTGTTCAATCAATTCAGTTACAGGAATTCTTATGAGACAAGTAACAACTAAGTAATCTTCTGGGTTTATACGCCAGACTGTTAATATAGCATGCTAAGCTACAATTGGTTTGTTTTTTTGTCTTAAGTGTATCATGTGAGTCAAGACATTATTAAAAATTGATTCCTTTTACTTTTTTAAACTGGTTATGTCTAATTTGGCCAGTGAAATTAGAAATAGTCTGGTTTTACGCTAATCAGTCACAATGTAGTTTACTTTTTAAAAAGTATATCAAGGGTTTGACTTTATCTTCCTCTATAAATTCTCTAATGCTTTTCCTGGCTTCCTGGTAAAACAAATTATTTTCTTGTTCATATACTGTCCAAGGAACACATTTTCCTCCTCCACCTTTTTTCTTTTCTCCATAGGATGGACAATGTTATGGTATGGAATTGCTGTATTACAGGGATTGGCATTAGGGACAACAAATTTTATGATGTATGTTGGTAGATAGCTGTTGAAAAGCAATATAAACAACCAGTTAGAAAAAGGTGGCCAAATTCTGAAATATATTCCTTTTCGTACCATGTTTCCCTGAAAATATAACCTACCTTGAAAACAAGCCCTAGCCCAATTTTCATGCCTGCACCTAATATAAGCCCTACCCAAAAATAACCCTGTTAAGCCCTGCCCACCATCTGGTTGTATGAAGTGGGGTGAGGTGCATGCATAAAAATCAAGCTAGGGTTGGGAGGGTGGAGCGCCCTGCATCTGCTTACCTTAGGACCACTGCAGTCAGGCTTCCAACACCTGTTGTGCTGCTGCCTGACTTCTGCTGCCATTCACGGCTGGATGCCATCTGGTGCATCACGCCAGTGTTGCCACTCACAGCAGACAACTTGGCTCATCATGGAAGGCCACAGGGCATGTCACGCCAGTGCCACTGCTCGCAGGAAGATGCTGCGAGGCTCATTGCATCAGTGCCGCAGCTTGCAGCAGTATGCCGTACTGCACATCGTGCCAGTGATGCTGCTTATGTGCGCAATGGTACAACGTGCCATGCAGCCCCCTGCTGGGAGCAGCAGCACCAGCACAAGCCAAGCAGCTTCTGGGCACAAGTGGGCCCAGAAGTCAGGCATTGGTGTGACAGGTGTCAGGGAATGGGAAACCTGGCTGCGGTGGTCCTAAGGTAAGTGGGTAAGACATCCTCAGAAAATAAGACCTGGTACTTATTTGGGGCCCCAAAGAAAATAAGACTAGGTCTTCTTTTTGGAGAAACACAGTAGTTCTTCATTCACAGAATCATAGAACACAAGGTTTGGGCGGAATCTTTTGAGGCCTTCTAGTCCATCCCGCTACCTGGTACAAAGCAATCCAGCCTATTTAAAGGTCTTCAGTAAATGATAGTTCCTCAGCTCCTGAGGCAATCTGTTTCATTGTTGAAAAGCTCCGATAGCCATAGCCTACTTTTATAATCCAAATGCATTGTTTATTGGCTTGCTTTTTGGAACACTCCAAATGATCTTCCTGTCTGACAGCCCTTCAGATATTTAAAGTCAGCTATCATGTTTCCCTCCTGCAACCATCTCTTCTCTAGGCTAAACATAACTAGTGTCAATGGTCCGACTAATGAACCCAAAAGAAATAGGCACGCTCAGGAACTTTGTAATCCCAAAGGCATAACTTTATTGGATATACCATTTTGGCACTGAAGAATCATAGCTTTAGCATACTTCAGTACATCCACATAAACCCCACTAGCCAGCCGCACTGACTTCTTACAAGCTTCCTGATACAATTCAGGATGTTATCACCTGTAAAGGTCTAATGTGGACAGGCTATTAAGAGGATTGCCTTTCTTCAATGGTATCTGCCTGCCCACATGCCCTACAAGGAAAAAACAATCTGAAGGGACCTAGGAGGTGTACTTAGGAGGTGTACCTGCCCTTTGGAATGATCTCCCTCCCCTCAATTTACCCCAAACCTTTTTAGAAAGGCACTTAAAAACTTGGGTTGTTTGGGGGGCATTGGGATAAGGATGTCTAAATTTTTTGTTTGAAACAGTGTAGTAAATGTGAGGTTTTGATAATCTCTCAGTGCTTATTTACTGATTTTTAAGTGTACCTGTTGTTTTTGTAAACCCAATTAACTGTTGAAGGAGCTAAAAGGTAGCTTAAAAATAAACTGTACATCTTTGTATAAGAGTATTGTGACAGAAAGGAATATAAGATCTAGCCAACTGCATCTGTACATTTTATTATTTCATTCAGGTGCTGCCCATCTTGTTGTTTGAGGAGGACCAACAGCGAAGTTCCCTCTTTCACACACCGACCCATTTTGGTTGCTTTTTCATTCTGCTTGCTTTGGTCTTCTGGATGTCAACTGTGAAATGCTTTGAAAATAAAAAAGCTTCTGTCTTTTGTCCAAGTGCTTCTTTTCCAAGTACAAAATCGTGCTGCACTGTACTTCAATGAATCTATAGGAAGGAATAAGCTTAGTAATTGATTTTTGGATAATCTGTTTTGACCCTCTTCCCATTTTTGGCACGCTCTAGTTTTAAAGTTACCATAGTACATTGGATTACTAAATCCTGTGGAATCAACTGAGTTTTAAAAATATGTTTTTGACTTTCAATTTTAGAGAACAATGTGAAAGACTAAATTTACTAAATATTATACAGTGCAAAAATATCTGAAAAAACATCACTGTGGAAAATGCTGGGTTCAATTGCATAACAGGCTAGAACATTATTCCTTAAAATATTTGCTTAATTATTGTAGCACATCAAAGAAAAAATGCAGTCTCAAAGGACTTTTAGACCTTCAAATCAAGTTTGACTCCTTTTGACAACATGGACATATACGTTTTTCCTTCTCTTAGCACTTATATGAAAATAAGTGTTTTTCCTTCCCAGTATACAGCTCTGGAATATTTTGGCTGTCTTCCATCTTAATACCAAACAGATCCAAACTATGTTACTTTTTTTTAAAGATCAACCAATGTCAGTTTGGTGCTATAGCAAACAACAAACAAAAATATGGGCACATAAGGATGTCAGCTTTATTAAGCATCATCTTGCTCTATCCATTATTACTACCTATTGTTTCTTATGACATGCAGATTACTCCAGAACAGTGGTTCCCAAAGTGGGCAGTACCGCCCCCTGGGGGGCAGTGGGATGCCTTAGGGGGGTGCTAAGAGGCAAGGGGGCCGGCAAGGGGGCGCTAAGAGGCGGCAGGGGGGCGTTTGAGGCATCGGCCCTGCAGGGTCAACCCACTGACTGTTGCACCGCTCCGGAACCGGTGCCTCGAAGGCGGCAGCTCCAATGCACCGCTCCGGTGCAAGAGTCAATGGCATCCGTGGATCACCTAGGGTAAGGATCAGCAACGTGCCGCACATGGCCCTTTGGACCCTCTCCTGCGGCTCCCTGTCAGATGATCCCACCACTGGCTGGCTCTGCCCCTCGCCCTCCCCTCCCCCTCACTCTTTGCCTGCCCTAAGAGAAGGGCAATGGAGGCAGATGGAGTCTCATTCCGTATTCTAGGGTAGGAGCGAAGCGCCCCTCTACTTGCTTCTTTTTCTGGCCCTTGTTGGTGCTGTATTCACCTCGGCCGCTGGGAGAGACTTTTCTCCAGCCCGGGACACTGGCCGGGTCAGCTTGGAGCCGATGTTCCGCATTGTAATGGGCTCCAGGAGGAGGAGGAGAGGATGGAGTAAAGTGCACTAAATTTGAGTGTGCTGCAAAGGTGCTGCAAGAGCCAGCTGTGGTGGGGCCTGGAAGGTGCACACAAGAGGAGAAGGAGGGGAAGAGGAAGGAAGCCTCCGTCACGGCTTGCGCTCATTCCTCAGCCAACCTGGATTTCCAAAAACTCGCCAAGAAGAAAGAAAAGAAGCTTCTCACACTCTCGGAAAGCCCTGAGTGCTCTACTTGGGGCCCTTTGCTATCCTTTTTTCTTCCTTCCTTTTGGAAACCCAGGCTAGCTGAGGAACAAGCAGAAGCCGCGGTGGAGGCTTCCCTCCTCCCCCTCCTCCTCCCCTCATTCTTCAGCCAGCCCAGATCTCCAAAAGGAAGAAAGAAAAGGGGACAGCGGAAGAGCCCCAAGGAGAGCACGCAGGGCTTTCCAAGAATGAGAAGAGATACAGACAGGGAGCCAGAGAGACCGAGATACAAAGGGAGGGAAGAGAGATTCGGCTCAATTCAGCTCTGTCTGCTCCCCTCTCTCTGCCTTTGCCCAGTTTTGCAAGGATTCAGCAGCAATCTAAGGCAGCAACCTCGTAGCACTGTGAGGCAACAGCCTAACTGTCACTCCTTTTGGAATGCAAGGTTTATTTTTGTATCTTTCCAGAGACAGCAAGAACGTGGCCAAATTTCCTTACAGTTATTCCCTGGGTGTGAGAGTTGGGAAGGGAGGGAGTGGGGGAGAAGGAGGGAGGAAGAGAGGCATAGAGAGAGAGAAAGAGTTAGAGGAAAGAAAAAGAAGGAGAGGGAGAGGCAGAGAGAAAGAGAAAGAGATAAGGAGGAAAGGAGAAGGAGAAAGAGGGAGATAGAGATGGGAGAGGGAGCACAGAGAGAGAGAGAGAGCAACCTGTTCCCCATAGAAAACACAAAATCACAAAACCTGGGCGGTCATGTGACTCAGTGGGAGTGACATTGAGTTGCCATGCCCACCCATCTCTTGGGGCTCCCGGTGTTTTCTGTGGGAAACAGGTCCAAATAGCTTTTTGAGTGTTTAAGGTTGCAGACCCCTGACCTGGGGGAAGCAGAGGAAGGGGGGCTTTGACCACATGCCCAATATCCAGGATCCCGCTCAGCCAAGCCCACCTCTCTTTGTAGTTGCCATGCCTGATAGCAAGTTCACAGGGTGCCCCTCCTGCCAGGGATCAGCTTCCCAAGCTGCCCCCCCCCCGGTGCACTCATGTCGTAGAGGGTGGTGCTGTTCCTTCCTTCCTGGAGCAGGGCAGGGTTGAGGAAGCCCAGGGCAGGCAGCTTTGCTCTACTTTCACAACGTGCCATGACTGCGTTCGATGCGCCGGCTCCGCAGGCTCACCCCATTGAGCCCCTTGCACTGCTCCAGTGCAACAGTCAATGGGGTGAGCCTGCGGTGCTGGCGCCTCGAACGCCCCCCTGCTGCCTCTTAGTGCCCCCAAGGGGGCCGGCAGAGGGGCGCTAAAAGGTGACAGGGGGCGTTCGAGGCGCTGGCACTGCAGGCTCACCCCATTTACTGTTGCAGTGCTCCGGAGCAGGCACCTCGAATGCAGTGGCGGCGGCTTTGCTTTACTTTCCCAAAGTGCCGCTGCTGTCACATTCTGTCTTGTCTGCCTGCCTTCCTGCCTACCTAGTATCTGCCTGCCTGCCTGTCTTTCTACCTACCTATCTACCAATATCTATCTATCTATCTATCTATCTATCTATCTATCTATCTATCTATCTATCTA